CCGCTGCTCCTCCACATCGAGAGGAGCCAGCTGAGGTGGCTCGGGTATCTGTTTCGAATGCCTCCTGGGTGCCTTCCTAGGGAGGTGTTCCGGGCATTTCCCACCGGGAGGAGGCCCCGGGGAAGACCCAGGACATGCTGGAGGGATTATGCCTCTTGACTGGCCTGGGAACGCCTCGGCATTTTCCCGGAGGCGTTGGAGGGAGGGTCTGGAGGGAGGGAAGTCTGGGCATCTTTGCTTAGACTGCTGCCCCCGTGACCCGGTCCCGGATAAGCGGAGGAAAATGGATGGATGGATAAATCATATTGCAGTTTCTTGATTAAAAACAAAGCCTTATTGAAAGGCTTTCTCCACATTTAAGAAATTCTTTGGTCTACTTTTCAATCCTGCATCACTGTGAAATGTTTCAGTTGCATAAATATATCTGCCTAGTTTTGCAAGCTATTCACACTTTACATACTGTAGCTGAGGTCTCACACACATACATCTGCACAGATGTTTTTCAGTTTCTCCAGAGGGATACTCTCATCTTCTAATTTCTCGTTCTTGCCCTGACCCTGTTCAGGCAGGGTTTGGTGGTGCATTTCCACTAAGGCCTTATATAGCCCTCCACCCAGTACTCCTCCAATGGGGGGAGCAACTAGTGGCACCCACCACCAACCATTTCCAGACCTGCAAGAAAAAGACAGAGTAAAACAAATGCAGTTTATGTATGTTTATTTTCAGCATTTTTCTATGTATTGATCAGAAACAACCACCTTGATATACTACATTGCCAAAAGTATTCGCTCGCCTGCCTTCACATGCAAATGAACTTGAGTACCGGTAACAACCGATTCTTAATCCATAGGGTTTAATATGATGTTGGCTCACCCTTTGCAGCTATAACAGCTTCGACTCTTCTGGGAAGGCTGTCCACAAGGTTTAGGAATGTGTTAATGGGAATTTTTGACCATCCTTCTCTGCTCTAATTCATCCCAAAGGTGTTCTATCGGGTTGAGGTCAGGACTCTGTCCAGGCCAGACAAGTTCTTCTACACCAAACTCACTCATCCATGTCTTTATGGACCTTGCTTTGTGCACTGGTGCGCAGTCATGTTGGAACAGGAATGGGCCATCCCCAAACTGTTCCCACAAAGTTGGGAGCATGAAATTATCCAAAATGTCTTGGTATGCTGAGGCATTAAGAGTTCATTTCACTGGAACAAAGGGGCCAAGCCCAGCTCCTGAAAAACAACCCCACATCATAATCCCTCCTCTAACAAATTTTACACTTGGCACAATGCAGTCAGACAAGTTCCGTTCTCCTGACAACTGCCAAACCCAGACTTGTCCATGGGATTGCCAGACAGAGAAGTATGATTTGTCACTCCAGAGAGCACGTCTCCACTGCTTTAGAGTCCAGTGGCGCCGTGCTTTACACCACTGCATCCGATGCTTTGCATTGCACTTGATGATGTAAGGCTTGGATGCAGCTGCTCGACCATGGAACCCCATTCCATGAAGCTCTCTACGCACTGTTCTTGAGCTAATCTGAAGGCCATATGAAGTTTAGAGGTCTGTAACTATTGACTCTGCAGAAAGTTGGCGACCTCTGTGCACTATGCGTCTCAGCATCCGCTGACCCCGCTTTGTGATTTTATCTGGCCTACCACTTCATGGCTGAGTTGCTGTCATTCCTAATTGCTTCCACTTTATTATAATACCATTAACAGTTGACTGTTTAATATTTAGTAGCGAGGAAATTTCATGACTGGACCTATTGCACAGGTGGCATCCTATCATGGTACCATGCTGGAGTTCACTGAGCTCCTAAGAGCGACCCATTCTTTCACAAATGTTTGTAGAAGCGGTCTGCATGCCTAGATGCTTGATTATATACACCTGTAACCATAGAAGTGGTTGGAACACCTGAATTCAATGATTTGGGTGGGTGAGTGAATACTTTTGGCAACATGTATGTCTGTTGAAAAACCACACCTCTTAACTCTGACTGACCCCTGAGTTATGGTGGCAGTTCCTCCCCTAGAAACCAATACACTCTTATTGTATACCTGAACACATCAGCTCCCCAGCCTGCGATGGCAGTGAAGACCCTGGGTGCGATATCTCTGGTGGGGTTGATGGCATAGCTGCTGTTGCTCCCCAGAGAAATGCCAATAAGCAGCACCAAGAGACCCACAGCGATGGGCTCGCTGCCCATTGCAGCCGGTTTGTTCTTCTGGTCAGACAGAGCCATTAGGCACAGCAGAAGCATCGCAGTACCAATCACCTGGCACACAAACAAAAAGAATAAACATCACATAGAAACACATCATAATAGCTGTGTGTAAAACAACACAACAAAGAAGGGTTCATGCAGAATGTGTCAGATGATAGTGTAGCTGTAATCCAGTTTCATAGCTACCTGATCAATGAATCCAGCCAATAAGGAGAGGTATGGTGCAGGGTAGGTGGCAAAGATACCGGCTGTAGCCTTTACACCAGTTACTGTCAGGTTTCCTCCACAATAATCATGTATGGCTTCTGTTGACATATTGACTGTCGTTACATGTTTGAAAGAATATATCAAATCAAAATCAAATCAAATCATATGGCAACAAAATTGCCAAGACAAATTAAGGTGTGTGACTGCAGATAGGATTACTGCGATGATATATGAGAAAGAAGACATAAGTGCATAAGATTTTATAACAATGCAAGAGATCAGTGCCAAGTGTGCTTGAACATGCAGTGTGCCCTCACCATAATAGACTCCATAAATTGTCCCTGCTGCCAAAAATGATCCCAACAGCTGTGAACAAACATACACAGGCAACATCTTCCAGGCAAGGCGGCCGAATGTGCACATTGTGAATGACACTGCTGCATTCATGTGAGCCCCTGATGGAGCATGAAAGCATGAGAAATGGAGTGTGTGAGCTGTACAATGATTGTGAAGACCTTTAAGAATTGTTGAATGTAGGTAGGATTTACCAGTAAACTCTCATACCTGAGACTGTCCCTCCAACATGTACCCCCATAGCAACACCCAGTCCAAAACCCAGGTTGATACTGAGGTACTGTCCAAACGCTCCCTGTCCTGTCACTACCTGGGCCACAGACCCCAGGCCAAACACCTGGACACAGAGAAAATCAATAATTCACTAGCAAGGTCGCAGCTGATGACTACAGAGAAGGGAAAACTGCCAGACAGTCTCATTTAGAGAGACAGTCTGACAAAGAGGTTATGTAAACTGACAAACAGATTGTGAATATTTACTAAGTGTTAAAGAAGCCGAGCTGAAAAATGTTCTCTCTAACAGTTTTAACTCAATGAAAGTGACTTTAGTCCCACTGAAAGAAGCTGATACTCAAAAACCGCAGCTAGTCATTCAGGAAACAGGAAGAGTATGGTTCCTCCTACAAAAACTGTGCAAGTCTAGCTTCCCAAGTGCAAACACAACAGATTTCTACATTCATGCTTATCTACAGCATGTGTCCACTGCACGTGTCTGTGCGTATTTCTTTTATGTTTCCAAGTATCAGATTATTTTTGTAACAGCTGGCTCATAACATGACTTTTGCAAACCTCCCCATGTGGCCCACACCCTGACCATTCATCTGGCAACCCCAGATTTCACCCACAGAAACCTACTGATCTCTACCAACAACCCCAGCCATGTGACTGTGAAACGTGCCACAGTATGTGTTTGCAAGAGAGGGCATGTTATCGGGGTCAAGAGCATGACATTAATAATTAATGACATATGGTTGTCACAGATAGGCATATCAGTGTTCAAAGCCAGAGCGAAGAGCTCATAAATAAAAAGTGAAGTTATCATAACAAACTCGAGAAATAACAGTAACATTTAGTAGTTTTACAAAATGTGTTATTACAGCAAATGCCTGTCAACATGAGACGTGACAAATTATTTCTTACCATCATGACATATGTGCAAAGAGATTCAGCAAGTCCCACACGAACAACTTCGTTCTTTAGCCAAACTCTGGGTTTAGTTATATTAACTCCTTTCTTCTGAGGGACCTCAAGTTCCACTGACTGCACAGAGTCCATGTTTTCCTCTTCTTCTCTGTTTTTGCTTTGCCTATGTTCTAATTTAGTTAAATTAAGATTAAGACTCCCTTGAAGAATTTATGAGGTACAGTATTCCATGCACAAGTCTGGTTCTGGTTATTGGTTGGTTATTCCCCTTCCCCCTCTTCTAACTTCTCCTCCTCTCTTCCCTTCTCACTTTCTGTGTGTGTGTGTCTGTGTGTGTGTTTCCCTCCGTCACACATACCCATTGGGATTTGTCCACCTTTTATATCCTTGAACCAGCCC